TGCTGCTTTGTCTCTGAACGCGTGCATCTTCTCTCGGACATGGGCCGTTACCACCTTGTCCGGGTGCCACGAGCGTTCCTTTCGGTCCTGACTCTTCTTGGACTTGAACTGCTCCGGGAACCTCTTCTCGAGCACAAATCCTTGGCGGGGTTGGCCAAATATCATAGCTAACACCAAAATGTCACTGCATTGTTGCTTTAAATGCCCAAGCGGCTGATAAGCTTCGGGGAGATGGCGTGGGCATGCTCAGCTCCACTCGGGCTGTGCATCAGAAGCGCCAGGAGGCCCTTAGGGACACTGGCACGGCAGCCGAAGTTGAAAGTTGCTGCTACATAGCATACTAACTCAATACACTGGCAAAGTCAAGTGGCACAGTAGGCCATGTCGTCGCATCGACACACACGGAGCAAGTAGTACAAATGCGGCGCGAGCTCGTTCAGCTTCTCGGTCACCTGGCAGGGAACGACGGCTTCCGGTTGAAGCCCCGTGATCTAAAATGCATCAGTCAGAATCGGGGCCTTCTCGAGCGGGACACTCTCGTCAAGGGCGTGGAAGCCGGCACTGGCACCCTGACCCTGACCCTGACTGTGGCTCGGTGCTGGGCCAGCCATGTAGGCAGCTCTGGCTTCAGGTCCCAGTTTTGCGAGTGCCTCAGGCAGAGACTCATGCACTCGGTCAATGTTTGAATCTGACTCTCAGAAACACTCTCATGCTAGGGCCTCGGGGTTGTTGATCAGAAGTCCGTACTGGAACCCTAGGGTGTCGTAGTCTGGGTGACCACGGGTCGGCATGAAAGTTCTGAAGCTGAAAGCTCGGGCCGAAACTGCATTTTTCACAAACAACTCAACTCTGCTGTCAAACTTGACCAGACTCATGCGCTCAAATCTAACTTTGCAGCAGGCTAGGAAGCACCGGGCGCCTCATCGTCGTGCCGCGGAGACTCGAGCTCCAGCACTGGGTCAAGAACAGCACCTGGGCGACGCATGTCCATGCGGGCTACTCGAGCTGGACTTGCAACACAGCCACCTTGCTCTGCGGATGATATCTTACTTTTTCGACCGACAAAGCCGGCTGGCATCGCTGGACTGCAAAAAGACTCGGTCTCCAGCAGCGCGTGGAAGACAGACTCTCGTACTTAAACATTCAACTCGTACGAGGCGGGGCTGCACCAGCTTTCGCTGCAGCTTTTTGACCCTCGGTCATGTGGCTCTGGTCAATGCACGGACGTCCTCAACGGTATTCAGACTGGGCAAAACCAAGGCAAACAAACCGTCTGATTCAATTCAACAACAGCAATAATTAGAAGCCCAGCTGCGGGGCGGTTCTCGGATGTAATATGGATTCCCGGGCAACTGATTTTGCCACCACATCAGGAGTTGGTGAGCTTCGGCTGCCGCTGATGCCATTTCCTGGCGGGTAAGGCTTAAAGGCTGCTCGGTCTGTTGCTTAGACTCAGACTGAAACATAAAACTATCTAAAACCTCCAGTGCTGCTAGAGCCAAAGCACTCGGATGCATCTCATGAGTTCTTTGATGCCTGTCGACTTCGAGTACCGAGTCTTGTAGTCCACGGACGGAAAAGTGAGCTTGGCCAATCCATACTCCTGCCAATGACTCGGACGATTCCTCCTGAACCACCCCAAGGCCTGGCTGTAATCGTCCAGCAAGGTGTTGAGCTCCTAAGTTAGAAGACATGTCAGACGTTCAGGAAATTTTGCCATGCTGGACCATGCAATTGCTAGCCAAGTCTCGCACATGTCCACGATCATCTGGTACTGCAGGTTGGACAGTGGCACGTCCTTCTTGGCTTGGGCCTGCACGTGCTCTTTGGCCTCAGTTTGGCAGCAGGACTCGGCATCACAGATGCCCCAAGCAAACTGCACAGCTCGGACTTCGCCATCATTGAACTAACTTCGAACAGGTCACCTGCTGGGCCAATTTCTGCCTCTTCTTGTGCTCGCGCTGCGCCTTGCCCGGGTTCTTCGACTTCTTCTTGACCTCCGTCGCGGCACTCGAGGACGGCTCGGGCTTGGCCTTGGGCTCGGGGTTGGTCTTGGGCTTGGCTGGCTTGTACTTGGGCATCCCCTTCGGCTCGGGCTGATCCTGTCAGTCAAGCGACTCACTCTCGACCGGTAAATATTAAGCAATGTGAATCTGAATGACTCAGTTTCACCTTGCTGCTGCATTGCACTCGATTGGACCCAGCCTTCTTCTCGGGCAAGGAGCCATTGTCGGGAAGCCCGGACCACCACTCATCGGACGGGCTCCAATCATTGGACGAGGACCACCACTCGGACCAACTTCCGCCACGCTCGGACCACTTTCCATCCCGCTCAGACTGAGACTGAGACATGGCAAAATAATGGGCTAATGGCTTACTTCAGACATGCTTCAAACTCGGACATACTTCAAACTTGACTTCATCGTGCTACTGGCACTCTGTCATGGCTGTGGTGTGCATGGGTTCTGCTGGCAGTGGCCTTGAGCCCTGACTTTCGACTAGGAGGTTTCCAACTGCAAACACAAGCACGCCAATGACAACTGTGTGCTGAACTGGGCTTGGCACATCCTCGGGCCAGAAGGCTCGATCGCTGTGGCCAGCATGGACCTGGGTTGATAGAAATAACATCTCGGGTTGGAGCCTACGTCTCGGGAACTCAATGTCAAGGCACTCAGACAGTCATTCCTACTTTCCTCAAACTCCGAATGCCCGGGTTTAGGGTTTAGGGTTTAGGGTTGCGGGTTTAGGCTCGGTCTCGGGCTCCCGCGGATGCCTCGGGCAAGCTGAGGCCCCGGGCGAACTCGTAGCACTAAATTTTTAAACCACATGGCACGTGGCACATGACATCCAAGGCCCTCGGACTCGGGCCCTGAATGAGCATGAACCTTTTTGTGATGCTGTGACAAACAGTGCACTTGGGCACTGTCTGAGCACAGCATCGGCTTGGAGCTGTGACGAACACGCCCAAAACTCGGGCATGTTCGAGCACAGCTCCCCCACCTCGGACTCGGCCAGCGAAGTCGCCGTTGTCGAAAGCTCAGGGGGTTTGCTGGGGTTTCGGGCTTACTCGGGCTTAAACTCAATATCGGGCTTAGAGTCTCGGGCTTAAAGGTCCGGGTTTAGGGTACAGGGTCCCTGTGGGCTTATTAGGGGTTGGGGGTTGAAGTCTTGGTCTCGGGCCCACCCACCCCCCACTAAACCCTACAACAAACACACAGAGGCCCCGGCATGGTTGCTTCAACGACGATGGTGTGGTTCGGCAGAACATGGACGAAAGGAAGGGTGGTTAGGTCCCAAAACTCGGACTCGGCCGGGCACTTGGTTAAGTGAGACTCGGGCTTTCAAACTCAAAACTGGTTAAGTGGGACTCGGGCTTTGGGGATTTTGCACATGGCTACTGGTCCTGAGACTCAAACCTCGGGCCTAAACAAGGCAGACACAAATACCATTATATCTATATCATATTAATATAAATTGTATTATTATTAGTCTAATAATATATAGTATACACAACTGGAGCAAAAAAGCTTAGAACCTGCCAAGAGTGGGCAAGAGAAGTGCAGTTATAATTGGGTAGCTAATGCTAAGTACCATGAACCTCCAAGCATCTTATCAGCCCCATTACACAACCCCGAACGCCGAAAGCCAAGAAGGCCTAAACCCCAAAGTGCACCGTACTTAGAACCATATTAGGGTACTTAAGGGGCTTATAGGTCTCATACGTGGGTTGTAAGTACAGTTAGAATGAGTTCCTAAGTACCATGAACCTCCAAGTAAGGTTCTTCGTCATCCTGTACCAGCCCGGGTAGTTCTTCTCCACGAACCAAGGCGGTGGACGCGCCGGCTGGTTCGGTCTGGCCGTTGGTGCAGATCTCATGTCGATCCCACAAAACTTTTCTCCCTAAACCTTATAAACCCTAAACCCTAAACCCTATAAACCCTAAACCCTAAACCCTATAAACCCTAAACCCTAAACCCTAAACGGACCAGCATGAGCTCCTTCGGGGATCCAGCCGGACGCCTGTAGCTTCAGCACGAGGTCGCAGTGGAGTTGATGAAGCTTCGGGCAGGGTTTGATTATTTTTTGGGGCGTGCTTGGGCCAACACCCGCTGCGCTGGCGCACTGATTCTGCTACGCCTTGGCCCCGAAGTGTTGCGATTGCAAGTGTAGGACATTTAGGATTTGAGGGCCTTGCGCTTAGAAGGTCGCACTGGTGGCATGAAGCTGCGAGGCAGCTTGATGTAGGCTGGGTATGTAGGTGTAGAGGCAGGGCCCGCCAATAACCCCTGAACTCGAACCCCTGGCCCACGAGCTTGCATCAAGCTCAGTCACAGCGTCATCCCAGAAACCCGAGCCCTAAATCCGTAAATCCCCACCCGAAACCCTGTTAAACCTAAACCCCGAATCCTCAACCCTAAATCCAACCCTAAATCCTGAACCCTAAGCCCCAGGCCCGAAATCCCTAAATCCCCAACCCTACAGATCCTGGTCTGGGTTGGCCTTTACACCCTTTGCAAAATAATGAAATGTAGGGTCCCTTATACACCCAAATAAGCTAAAACATAGAATGTCCCAAAGGGCAACCTAGTCACTAGGTATGCCTCTCATCCCAGAGGCTACGCCGGGAGGGGAAAAAAGTGCGGCAGGAGCCCCCAAGCCCTGGGGTTTAAGGTTTAGGGTTTTAGCTGCGGAGTTGTTGGCTTTCGGATAGTTGGCTTTAGGTTTGTTGGGTTGAGCATTGTTAGGGTTTAGGGTTTGGGGTTGTCGGGCTTATTACCTACCCTACTTGGAGGTTCAGCTGGTGAGCACTTTGCCCGGGGTACGTAAAGCCTTCTTACTCATCACTAGCCTACGCCCTAAACCCTAAACCCTAAACCCTAAACCCTAAACACTAAACCCTAAACCCTAAACCCTAAACCCTAAACCCTCCATGCTCCAAGTATAACTGGAACAGAACACAAGTTGACCGGAACCCTTCAGACTCTGTCAGGGCCCTGGCATCCAAGGGTACAGGGCTCCACTGGCATCCTCGGTACGTTTAGGGTTTAGGGTTTAGGGTTTAGGTTTTAGGTTTTAGGGTTTAGGGTTTAGGGTTTAGGGTGTAGGGTTTAGGGGCTAGGGTTTAGGGTTGGGAGGGGTTAAGGCGTTGGGCTCTAGGGGTTCTAGACTAGGGCTTGGAAGGTTTGGGGTTCAGGGCGTTGTCACGTTCAAGTCTGTTCAAAATTCAAGCTAGGTGCCGTTTAGGAGGTTAAGGGTTTAGGGTTTAGGGCTTTAAGGGCTTTAAGGGTTTTAGTGCCTGTATGTCTGAGTAGTGCGTATGCTGGGGCTTGGAAGTGGTGCCTCTATGCTGAGCCACTGCATTGCGTTGGCGAAGGTAGTGGGGCCGAGGCGACCCAAAGGGCCAAAGTGGGCCCTAGACCCCTACAACCCTAGACCCTAAAACCCTACACCCTAACCTGAAAAACCCTGAAACCCTCAAACACTAACTCCAAAAACCCTGAAACCCTAAAACCCTAAAACCCTAACCTCAAAACCCTCAACCCAAAATCTAAAAAAACCTAACAATCCTAAAGCCCTGAGACCGCCCTCCGACGCTGCTTCACCCTGGAGCGTCTCCGACTAGGCCCCGCCGCCCGAAAATGTACATAAGAGAAAAGATGTGTCGGTAAGGTGGTGAAGATCTTGGGGCACAAGAAGACAAGTGTGTATATATACATATATATATATATATATGTATATGTTCTGTCCTGAAAGGAGAAATATACCCTGGGTTTAGGCTCTAGGGTTTAGGGTGTAGGGTTTAGGGCCATTATGTTCAGCTAAACCCTAAACCCAAGACCCAAACACAACCCAAAACCCTAAACGACCCTGAGCCCTAAACCCTAAACTCCAAACCCTATCTCCCCCCCTTCAGAGTCCCCAAGTGGAGTCCGAGCTGCACCAAGGGCTGGTCCGGGTTGGTGTTGTCCACCATGCAGCTTGCGGTGCCTGGAGGGGCTTAGGACCCTTCCGGGGCTTGGGAACCTCGGGATGCTGGGGGGGTTCGGGGTTTAGGGTTTCGGGTTTAGGAAGTTTAGGGCTTAGGAAGTTTAGGGTTTAGGGCTTAGGGCTTAGGGTTTAGGGTTGAGGGCCTCGGGTGCTTAGGGATGCTGGGGTAAGCAATTGCAGTGAGTCTTGACGCATCGTGTGGACTCAAGCAGAGCATTGCAGTTCGGAAAGAGAGACCTCATGTATGCTCGCATGCAGAATTCTGCAGAATGGTCAGCGTTTCAGGGGGCCGAACCGCATCTGCGGTGGGTGGCTCATGCCTGCAGAGCCAAAAACTTCTTCAGAACTCCGTTGGCTCCCCTTGCCAGGAAATACCCATTCTCCGACTGGTACCACTGAGCTCCACAGAGGTGTGGAGCTATGATCAACGCGGTGTCACTATGCGCGGGGTAGCTTTTGCTCTGGTGGTGGTCCGTAGTCACGCAGTGGATGTGCGAGCGAAAGACTGAGACAAACCACCGGAGATGATTCCGCCCGAATATGGGGGGTTTCCGAATTAGGGCTGTCTTTATTGAGGTCCTTGTTGCAAGGGAATCCTAGTGGTTGGCGTCTATACTCCTATGAAAGCTTGTCTGTTCAGCGTCTTGCTATGACCCCGCAAGGCCTCCTATGCCCTGAAACCTCTAAACCCTATTCCCTAAACCCTAAGCCCTAAACCCTAAACCCTGAACCTTAAACCCTGCTTCCTTCTCCGGGCCTAAAACCTTCGGGAGCCTTAAGGAGGCCCTCGGAAAGTCTTGGGGAGTCCTTGGGAACTTGCGGTTCCCAATCCCTAAGCATCTTTATACGCCCTCAACACCCTTTTCTTTTAGATCCTAAACTTGTGATGTTCCCCTTAGACTAACAGTCCTTAATAGGGACTTTACTCTGGGGTGCTATAATCCCATTAAGGATTGTTAGTATGGACCCTAAACCCTACAGATCCTACAGCAGGGACGCTGAACCCTTATCCTTAAACCCTTGCCCCCTTCACCCGAGACCCCGCACCCGGAAACCCTAAACCTTGAAACCTGAAAATCCCAAACCCTGACAAACCTGAACACCCTAAAGACCCTAAACAAGCCTTAAAACCCCCAAAACATGACCGTTAAAAAACCCTAAACACCCTAATCCCTAAGCCCTAAACCCTAAGCCCCCAACGACCCTAAAAAGCCTTAAAGCCCTGAAAATGACCTTTAAAAAACACCTAAACACCCTAATCCCTAAGCCCTAAACCCTAAGGCCACCAACCCTGGGCTTGGTCCCCGGGAGCCGGGCTGACTTCGCCCACGTAGGGTGGCACGCAGAAGATCTGTGAAAGACACGGTGGGGGTCTTGTTGCTTTTTTTTTGTGTTTGGGGTTTAGGGTTTAGGCTTAAGTGCAACGAGCCCTTTCTGTTGCGTATTCGGGGGTTTAAGATTATTTCAGGGGCTTAATGGATTTCGGGATTTAGGGATGTACTGTAGGGTCTGGGGCTTTTGGCAGTTGGGCTTTGGGGAATCGTGTAACTACGGTTTGAATGGGTTATGGCCTTGCATGTACCCTCTTCTGACAAGCCTCAATGACAATCCTAAATCGGGTACTCCACTTAGGAGTTTGGGGTTTAGGGAGGCTTAGGGCTTAGGGTTTAAGGCGCTCGCTCCACCGATACGTGTCCCCAAAAGCGGAGCACCCAAAAACAGCAAGATGAGAGGTCATGACGCCTTGTACTTGATGTTGGCTCATCGGGTTCTAGGGTTTCCACATGAAGGTGATACGGGTCCTGGCTCTCATTCGCACGATTAGAAGATAAGGCGCAACATGCAACATTTTGTTTGATCCCCTAAACCCTAAACCCTAAACCCTAAACCCAAAAACCTAAACCCTAAACCCTAAACCCTAAACCCTAAACCCTAAACCCTAAACCCTAAACCCTAAACCCTAAACCCTAAACCCTACCCATATTTTGGGACTCAGAGTTCATTCACGGCCCACTTCACAAAGAAATTGAAGAATGGCATAAGATGTCGAAAAGCAGAAAAGCGCCAAGAGCAAGACGAAAAGACACAGAAAAGGGCAACTACCAAGCGAAGCGTGGACTAGTTGAATATGTGAGACTGTTCTACAGCAGTCCTCATGCTTATGCATGAACCCAACCCCTAAACCTCAACCCGAAATCACACTCCTAAACCTAAACCTCAACCCGAAATCACACTCCTAAACCGCAGCCGTAACCCAACCCCTCAAACCCTAAGCCCCAAGACCCCACACCCCCAAGCTCCCAACCCTAGATCCTAAACCCCAAACCCCAAACCCTAAACCCCAAACCCTAAATCCTAAACCCCAACCCCCCCCCCCCCCCCCCCAAAAGAGGCCCCAAACGCTAAGCCCCGAGAGGCCTCACAGCTGCCTCCGCCCTCAACCTCCCAAGCATCCGGTTCCACAAGTGGGAGCCAAGCAAGTTGTAAGGGTCTTTACTCATATGAAGCAGGGTTTATATTTCTTGTACCACCCAATATATACACTCACCAATATGAAAAAGGAACCTTATATACACTCACCAAGGGGTTTCGGGTTTGGACGTTACTTGGAGGTTCATGGTACTTAGAAACCCAATTATACCTGTACTTATACCCCAATTATAACCCTATTGGCTAAGGAAGTTGTAAGGGTCTTCTTGGGGCTTTAGGGGGGGCGTTAGGGGGCTTTAGGGGCTTTAAGGGCTTTAGGGGACTTTTAGGGGCGTTTGGGGTCTTTAGGGGTGTAGGAATTGGGGTTTCCCCAAACCCTAAAAAGGCCCCAAACCCCAATTGGCCCAACACCCTAAACCCTTAACCCTTAGTAACCCCCAACAGCCTTATGCATTAACAAAAACCCGACACTCCAAACCTTAAAACCCCCAACGCCCTAAACCCAAAACCCTAGACCCTAAACCCCAAAAACCTAAAACCCCAAACTTTAGCAAGCCCACAACTCGGGTACTTGGCTGACATTGACCCTGAAGTAAGGTTTCCAGTTTAGGGTTTAGGGTTTGGGGGGTTGGAGCTTAGGGTTAGGGTTTGGGGTTTGGGGTCTAGGGTTCAGGGTTTAGTGTTTAGTGGGCTTAGGGTTTCGGGTTTCGTGTATTTGGTGGGTATAGTGGGTTTAGTCGGTTTAGTGGGACTAGGGTGTAGGTTTCAGGATTAGGAGATGAATGCTTCCCCTATAAGGACGCAGCGTGCAACGAGCAGGAGGAGTCTGTGAGATCCACCCACCCTACTTTCCGTTTCAGGGTCAGGGGCTCACTTGCAGCAAGTTCGCTTCCAATGCTCCAATGGGTTCAGGGGCTACTAGCAAGTAGCGCACTTGCGAGGTGAGGGGCGGGGTTTAGGGTTTAGGGTTTAGGGTTTAGGGTTTAGGGTTTAGGGTTTAGGGTTTAGGGTTTTAAGATTTAGGGGTCAGGTAAAGCCCTCAAGTTCGCCAAGCGCTTGCACCTCGGAGCAGTTCGAGGTATCAATCTGCTCACACGTCAAGCCTGGCAGCATGTGGGCTATCAGGGCATCTAGGGTGTACTTGGTACTTAGCAACCCAGATATAACGGTACTTATAACCCAATTAGAACCCTATAAAGGGTACGTCAGGGGCTTCTTTGTGGGTTATAACTACACTTATAATGGGTAACTAAGTACCCTCTGAACCTCCAAGTAGGGTGTACCTCCCCACCCCTCCCCAGAGGAGGGTCGATAGTCGTGCAGGATCCAGGTTTTCCCGATCCTCAACAAGTTGCTACATCCCCTAAGCCCCGAAAGCCCACCAAGCCTGAAGGGGCAATGAATCTCACGAAGCCCGAAGCCCACTAAAATCACTGAGGCCTGTAAACCCACGAGGCCAACAACCCTAAACCCTAAACCCTAAACCCTAAACCCTAAACCCTAAACCCTAAACCCTAAACCCTAAACCCTAAACCCTAAACCCTAAACCCTAAACCCTACACCAACAAACTTTCAAGAGTGGGGCGAGCGGCCGGCCTGAAGGAGGGGGGTCTCGACAGGGCATTCGCCTTGACAAGCGACCCATGAGGTTAGGGCTCAGCCCTAAACCCTAAACCCTAAACCCTGAACCCTAAACCCTTCAGCTTTTTGGGTTTAGGGCACAGTTTGGGGACCCAGGGTTCAACTATAGGTGTTTTGGGATTTTTGAGTTTGCAACACTTTTTTTTAATGAGGGTTTAGGCCCGTTTAGGCTTTGTAGTGGTATCCCAACTAAGCCCCGCGACGCAAAGCCATAAACTCTGCAACCCCGAAACATGGGGGTGTCCGAGACCAGGGGTATCTTATTACTGGGGTCCTTATAATAAGGGCATCCTAGTACTTGGGAATCTATAGGGTCCTCTGCTATCGTGAACCCCCAAAGGATGATCAGTAAACTGCGAAACCCCAAACCCCTAAACCCTGAAGCCCGAAACCCCTACTGTAAACATACTTGGGATTGCTGGCGGGGGAAGCCCCCAAACCCCAAACCCCAAACCCCAAACCCCAAACCCCAAACCCCAAACCCCAAACCCCAAAACCCAAACCCTAAACCCTAAACCCCAAGCCCATGCCCCAAACACACCCCCCACAAGTGCTGCTAGGGCGAAGGCGGAAGGCAGCCGACCAACTCAGGGGCGTCAATGCACTCCCTGCTGTGTTGGGCTTCGGGGGGCTTTGGGCGGGTACTGGGGGCTCAATCGCTTTAGGGTTGAGGGCTTTGGGGCTTAGGGCTCAGGGTTTCGGGTTTCGGGTTTAAGGCTGAAGGGTTTAGGGTTTTAGGGTTTAAGGGCTTAGGGTTTCAAGGTTTAAGGGCCTATAGGGATTTAAGGGTTTAGGGTTAATAGGGTTTTAGGGCTTAGGGTTTAGAGTTTGACATACCTTAGTGTAGGGAAGTATGCGCTCGCCCAGGTTGGGGGGCAAGGGTTTAGGGGCTTCGGGTTTAGAGGTTAGGGTTTAGGATCTAGGGCTGTGGGTTTCGGATTTTGCCGTTCAAAGTTCGCAGGGCGCAATTTGCTGGGGCCATCTGCTTGGTTGCTCTTTAGTTCCCAATGAAAGTTTAACTTTTAGCTCCCTGAATATGAATACGAGGAACCACAAAACTTATAAACCCGAAACCCTAAACCCGAAATAACTAAAGACCTGACGAAGATGGGCCCGAAGCTGAAGCCCAGTTCTCCGGTACCCTAAGGTACCTAAAGGCTAACCCACCGGATGTTTGACAAAGGGATTCTACCCCAAAGGGTTGAAAGGTTAACTGCCCCCAAACAGTAGGAATATTCTTATAATACGGACCCCAGTTAATTAGGTACCCCCCCCCCCTAATTTCGTAGACCCCCATGTTTCTACCCCAAAGGTTGAAAGGTTAACTACTCTACGACTAAGGAGACAGATGGGCTGCCTGGTCATACTTTAGTCCGCAGCGAACTTCTGTTCACCCCTAAACTCCCAACCCCAAACCCGAAACCCCAAACCCCAAACCCCCACACCCTAAACCCTAAACTTCTTGTAACCCCTAAACCCTAAACCCTAAACTTCTTGTAGCCCTTAAACCCCCGATCAGCAACACTTCGGCAGGGCTGCGCTGGGCGTTGGCAGCGCTTCACGGCCTCGGTAGGAAGGACTCAGGTGCTTAGGGGTCTGGTTTAGGGTTTAGGGTTTAGGGTTTAGGGTTTAGGGTTTAGGGTTTAGGGTTTAGGGTTTAGGGTTTAGGGTTTAAGGTTTAGGGCTCAGGGTTTAGGCCTTGGGGCTTGGGGCTTCGGGTTTAGGATTTAGAAGATTGGGCGTTAGGCGCTCTTCTTGGGTTCCCCAGTTCGTGGAAAGCGTAGGGGCCTGAAAAATCTAGCTTACACACAATACGGCATGGGGCTGGGGGCTTTGAGGTTTAGGGTTTAGGGTTGTTTCTGCGTGTGAGCCTACGTCTGAGAGCCATCTGCACACCTTCGTACCACGCTAGTATCACCGGAGCCGGCACATGTCTTGCAAAGCCTCTAGAAGGTTTTCATGGGCTTCCCTACTGTATACTACCACCCCTAGGTTCCACCCCTTAAATAACCTTAATTGGGCTTAATTATCCCTATATAGCCTTAATATAGCATTAATCATGGGGGGAACCTACGGGGGGCTAGTATAGAGGCGGGGTAGTCGGGGAACGCATGAAGTTTTAGGGTTTAGGGTTCAGGGTACTGCCTATCTACTATTTGTTCAAGAACCCCCCCACCCCCCTAAACCCTAAACCCTAAACCCTAAACCCGAAACCCTAAACCCTAAACCCTAAACCCTAAACCCCCGGGCAAAAAAAAGAAGAATAACAATCCCTGAATTACCTGTACAAGGAAGAACATTGTCATTGCTTGGGGCGGTTCTTAAGCCAGTCGTAGCTATAGCTGATGAGCCCCGAACCGCAAACCCTGAACCCCTGTGCATCTACCAGGAATCCCGGCGTTGCCGGCATAACCCTCGTCGCACTGCCACACGCCATCCACCTTGACGTAGCCCTCGTGCCTGCCACACGGTGGTTCGAATGTTGAGGCGTTTCGGGTGTTAGCTTCTAGGGTTGAGGGCTCCCAAAAACCCTAAGCCCTAAAATTACTGAAAACCCTAAAAGCCCGAAAAGCCCTTAAAACACCAAAAGCCCTAAAAGCCCTAAAAACCCCTTTTGCAAGGCATGTTGTACTTCCAAAGGAGAATCAAAACCCTACCAGAACTACCTGGCTATGAACCGTCTTCTCGAGATGTAAGGCCCGCATCGAAAACATGCCGGCTTGGCTCCATCGGATCTGGGCCTCACAGTTTCAGGCACGCTCTGCAAAAAGAAATATCCATCAATACATGTTCATCTCCCAGATGCGGGTTTTTGACTGCTGTAGTAGGAGGTCCCTTTTGGCATGGATTCAATGGTCCGGCAAGGTCCCTGCAGCACCTAAATCGGCTCCGCGCACGAAGGCACGGATACTTCGACCCACGAAGTTGGTATACTTTAAGAGAGATTATTATAGTAGTGTAGGGTAGATGGCCCCAATTTTAGGGTTCATTTGGTCCCCAAGGACCATTAAGGGCTACTACACCTGCACCTCAACACTAAGGCTAGGTGGCCACACTTTCGACACGTCGTCTTAGGGCTTGGGTTTCCGCACAGCAAAACGCTGCAACGCTGGGTTTAGGGTTTAGGGGTAGACTCCGAAGCCCTAGGCCCGAAACCCCAAACCCCAAACCTTAAACCCTAAACCCAAAGAAACCCTAAACCCTTAACCTTAAACCCTAAACCCAAAACCCACTACCCTGCACCCCAGAAAGTCTTTCTGGCAGCTTGGCTTCCGGACAGGTGCAGACTGGATCCGTCTTGATCAGCACGGGATCCGATTGGCTCGTTCTGGGCCCATGGGCGGATGGCTCTACTCTACACTGTCCGATTCTTTGATGGGGATACTAGCAGTCCTTAAAAGGAATTATAGTACACCCCCCCCCCCCCGTAGTATAGTCCCTTTTCTTGGACTGTTAGGATAAGGGGGAAATTCAAAGTCACAAGGTACTAATATGATCCCTTGTGGGTACACAAGGTACCGCCGAATTCCCAGCAAGTATACTGCGGGGAGGCTGGGCTATCGGCCCTAAACCCTAAACCCTAAACAGGGACCCTCCGGTGAGGCACTTTCGAGGAGACGCCTCGGGCTGTCTGCACCTGAACCCTAAAACGCGGTGAGGTTGGTTATAGGGTTCTTTAAGGGAGGGTTTAGGGTTTAGGGTTTAGGGTTTTGGGTTTAAGGTTTCGGGTTTAGGGTTTAGGGGTTAGGGGTTTAGGGTTTAGGGGTTTAGGGTTTGGGGTTCTTGAGGGAGGGGCGCAACGGGGGTATGTAACCCAAGGTCCTCTAATGCTCCCTGGTACTCCCGAAGGCCCCCTAAGCTTCCCTAAGCTTCCCTAAGGTTCCCTAGGTACCTACCCCCTTGAACCCAACTCTTAAGAATTCCATAAGGTTTGGGAGGGCAAAAAGGTCAAGCCTCCTTTAGCTCGAAAGCCTACACCCATAAAGAAACACCAAAAAACCAAACTTAGACCCAAAGAGCCCAAAGTCCCTAACTTCGGGAATCTAGCTGAATTTCTATCGGGACCCTCAATCAGAGTTGAGGAAGATTGGGGTTTAGGGTTTAGGGTTTAGGGTTTCGGGTTTAGGGTTTAGGGTCGTAGATTCCTTAATTCAGGGGCATTGGGCTCTTTGAGAGCAAGCCTTCGACCTTCGGCCCTGAGGGCTTGGAGCTTCTTGCGGTGTGCCCTCCCACACCGAAACCGAACCGCTCATACCCTGGAGCCCCCCTAAAGGCCCTGAAACCCGCAAAGCCCATAAAACCCCCAAAGCCCCTAAAGCCCCGAAAAAGCCCCTAAAGCCCCTAAAAAGCCGCAAAGCCCCTAAAACCCCCAAAGCCCCTCAAACCCGCAAAGCCCCCAAAAGCCCCCCATCGACGAGTTCTGATCGTCCGGCCTGTTGATGGGCCGTGCAGTTTCTTGGCAGCTGGCGACCGTCGTGGTCCCCACATAGGGCGGCATCTGGGAGCGCGGCTTCTTGCAATATAGGGGCCTGAATAATTAGAATAGGGTTTTGGATGTTTTTGTAGTATAATTACAAAGGAACCATAAGGGAAAATTATTTGTAATTCTTCCGACCCCTATATTACTTCGAACTTACTTCTCCAACAACTAAGGGGGAATTCTCCAATAACCAAGGTGGAAAAAGGCTGAACTTTCTTTTTCCTACTAAATAAGGACACCCAAAAGGTTTAATTTTCTTTCGAAAGGTTTGGGGGCTTAGGGCTAGGAATCTCCAGTAACCCAAGAGTGCATTGGTGCCCTCAGAAGGCAACCTGACCCCGAAAAGCGGGGGGGAAGCCAGTGGCACCCCAGTCATTGCGCAAGGGCTTCGCCCTAAACCCCAAACCCCAAACCCCAAACCCTAAACCCTAAACCCTAAACCGGGGAGGGGGGGGGGGGGGAGAAAGGTCAAGATGCCTTGTTTACTTTTGGGCACCCAAGCACTGGGAAGCTCTTTTGACATAGTAAGTGTACTTCTAGCATCCCCTGAAAAACCTCTTTTAATCCCCATAACCCGCCTTACTAACCCGGCGTACTAAGTCAGAAGGGCCTCCGAGCATACCCCGTTTTAGGAGTGCACAGATAGCTTGCGAAACTCAATAATTAAACGTCAACCCTAAATCCCTAAACCCCGCCGCCCTAAACACACCAAAACTCCCAAACCCAAACCCCTTAACCCCCCTAAACTCAAAACCACTAAGCTAAAACCCGTAAACCCCCTAAACACCGTGATTCCCTAAACCCTAAGCCCTAAGCCCTAAACCCTAAACCCTAAACCCTAAACCCTAGACCCCGAAGGTGGCAGAACGGGCCCCCGGCGCAGCCGATCTCGCAGAAGCGGTCGGGCCTGGCTTCGACTCGAGGATCTTCGAGGGTTTAGGGTTTAGGGTTTAGGGTTTAGGGTTTCGGGTTTCGGGTTTGGGTTTAGGGTTTAGGGTTTAGGGTTTAGGGTTTAGGGTTTAGGGTTTAGGGTTTAGGGTTTAGGGTTTAGGGTTTAGGGTTTAGGGTTTAGGGTTTAGGGTTTAGGGGGGTTGTTGAGGTTTAGGGTTTAGAGTTTCTGGGGTTTAGGGGTTTAGCGGTTATTAGGGGCTTGGCCGGCTTTGGGTTCTTGAGGTTCTAGTGTTTAGGGTTTAGGGTTTACGGTTCGGATGAACTCTACAAAGTGTACCCACCTTCCAAAACCACTTAATTAAGGAATATACCCTAATTTATACTAAGGATTCTTATGATGAATTAGGGTATATTCCTTGGTGAAGGGGTTTTGGAAGGTCTGGGTAGTTCAGGGACTTATAACCTAAGCTACAATACTTGTAACCTATCGAGGGTGCGTATAATGCAGCTCACAAGAATGGGGGGGGGGGAATTAAGGCTTAGGGTGTAGGGTTTGGGCCCTAAGAAAGGGGTCGGAATAATTACTAAGAAGATTCCCTTAGGGTCCCTTTATCATTATACTATAACAAAGCCCTATTAACAGTTATTCAGCCCCCTTATGTTACCTGTAAGCTGGGTTTGGGCAGGTTTGCCCACCTCAGGGGTTCGGCTGGATGAGGCTAAGGCGAAGGCAGCGTTTAGGGTTTGCAAGGTTTAGGGCCCGGGGCCCAAAAGGAAACCTAAATCCTGGAGACTTTCTTGGTTTGAAGGAGCCTAGCAAGCCCTGAAAAAGGAATTGAATAAGGGCCTAATCTGGATCCTAGGCCTAAACCCTAAACCCTAAACCCTAAACCCTAAACCCTAAACCCTAAACCCTGAACCCTAAATCCTAAACCCTTAACCCTTAACCCTTAACCCTAAACCCTAAACCCTAAACCCTAAACCCTAAACCCTAAACCCAAACCCTAAACCCTAACCCCATTCCAAAAAGACTTTACAACGGCCAGTCAAACTCCTAAGGAGACCATTGAAAACCTAAGCCCCAAAGCCCTGAACCTCTGAACCCTTAAGTCATTTAAGACTTCTAAACGCACTAGACCCAAGAGTAACCTAGGAAACAGAGGGCCCTTTTTGGTTTTAAGGGGCTCCTAAAGCTGAAAAAGGGCATCATGGGCTACTCTGGGCCCCAGTAATCTTAATTGCTGAGTTCACAAGGCCCCAGCTTCCTCAGCGTGCCCAGCAGGCTAGGGATAGGATTAGGGGGACCCTTGGGGATATGGACCCTCTGAATAAGATCACTGTTAAGAGAGCCAGAAGAGGGTTCACAAGGGTAACCCTAAACCCTAAACCCTAAACCCTAAACCCTAAACCCTATACCCTAAACCCTAAACCCTAAACCCTAATCCCCAAACCACCCTAAACCCTAAACCCAAAACCCTAAACCCTAAACCCCAGACCCTCCAAGCCCTATATACACCCAAGAAAGCTCCTGACTGGGGGAGTGGCAGGAGCCCATTGCATCCCGTAGCCTGAACTTGGCAGGGTTTGGTGTAGGGTTTAGGGTTTAGGGCTTAGGGTTTAGGGCTTAGGGTTTAGGTTTTAGGGTTTAGGGTTTGGGGTTTGGGGTTTGGGGTTTGGGGTTTGGGGTTTAGGGTTTAGGGTTGAGGGACCCACAAGATCTTCTCTTGGGGTGTAGGGCTAACTTAGGGCCGTTTTCTTCGGCTTAACCGGTCGTGCCGTTAACAGAAACAGAACCTCAGGGCATCTTCATGGCGATTTTGGCTTGGTTCCCCAAATTCCTAACCCTAAGGATCCATGTACCTTTATAGTGTATACTTGGGCCCTAAAGCTACTATATAGGAACCCCTTTAAGGCCCAAGTGTATACTATATAGGTACATGGATCCTTAGGGTAAACCCAAAACCCTAAAATCCTGAACCCTGAACCCTAAACCCAGCTTGGGTCGACTCAGCACAAGCTTCTCGGCCTCCAGGGTATAGGAGTCTAGAGGGTTTAGGGTTTAGAGGCTCTAACTTAGGGCTTAGGCTTTAGGGATTACCAAACGACGGCCCTTCTTGAGTACCCTAAATGGAAACAGGCTCCAATTTATGTAGGAACCCGAAAAGGACCCCCAAAGCCAAGAAGGCCCAGACAACCCCAGAAGCCCGAAACCCAAAATCCTGAACCCTAAGGCTCAGATCCTAAAACCTTATAAGCCCTAAATGCTCCCAAAGTAGACACTTGTTCTTTTCCTTGCCTCGAGTTGCCCAGCATCATAGTATGTTGTTGGGAACCTACAATTGTGGACTTTTGCTGTGCTCTGCCATGCAGTTCTTGAGCCTAGTCTCCAGCGCACAATGTACCCTTTCCATCATGATTATCGATTACATGTGTCTTTTAACGGCATCCCACATGAAGTGGCATCTCGAGCAGTGGCTTTGTCCACGCAACATGCTCCAAGCAAGAGCCACCTGGATGTTCCACAGCAAAGTGAACTCGCCTCACCACTGCGAGAACAAGTAGGAGGCCGAGGAAGCCTTGCCTTCGAACCCAGGCACGAGTTCTGGCGCCCAGCCGCGTGTTCACATGAGGAGACCTCCTACCCGCAAACCACCAGCCTTATGGCAAGGCAAAATCCATGTAAAGTGGCCAGGTTCTGAGCAGCATCATCGATGACTTCGAATGTGGCTCCATCGATTTAAAGTTACACTGCTGTTAGTTGCACGAACTCTGAGCGCATCGCCTCCGACCCAAAAATAGAATATACACGTGTATATGTTGAAACTTTAGATATCGCCTTGTGTATGTAGTCAGCCCTAAACCCTAAATCCTAAACTCTGAACCCTAAACCCTAAACAACCTAGGAGAACAAGCGGCGCCCTTTTTGCCTACAGGGTTTCCAAGGGAACCGAACCCCCCCCCCCCCCCCAAAAAAAAAAAAAAAGGGGGGGAACAAGGGTACTGCTGGGCATCCTAGAACTTGATGTCGGCTTTGGGTCTGAAAGCTTAGTCTTTGGGCTTTAGGGCTTGGGGTTTAGGGTTGGGGTTTGGGGTTTGGGGTTCAGGGTTTAGGGTTTAGGGTTTGGGGTTTAGGGTTTAGGACTTTCTGGAGTAGGAATCACGGTTGCGCCTTACACCGGGAAACTCTAGCAAAAGGAAACCTAGCTTGGCTGTTGTTTTGGGGCCAAGCACATCTTACCACCAGAACGTCTCCAGGGTGTAGGGTTTAGGGTACTATAAGAGCCTTAGGAGCTAGAATAGGGTTTTGGGGGGTCATTATAGGATAATTCTTAAAGGACCCTAAGGGAATATCATTAGTAACCAGTCCCAGGCGAGCAGCGTTGTACATGCAAGCGTCGATGGCGGGCTCGAGCCGCGAGTTCAAACCTCAACACCAATAATTGGAGGTTCATGGTACTTAGTAACCCAATTATAACTGTAGTTCCAACCCAATATGACCCCATTAGGGTACTTAAGGGGATTATATGTGGGTTATAGCTACACTTAGAATGGGTTACGAAGTACCCTGAACCTCCAAGTAGCCCAAAGGCAACCTCCACGTATAGTCTATGCAGATGTCTGCAGAATTCGAAGATGCATCGCTATCCAGTCTCATGGTTTAGGGTTTAGGGTTTAGGGTTTAGGGTCTTGGGTTTAGGGTCCCAAATCTCATTGACCCTTAAAGGCCCCGACCTTAAACCCTCGACTTGCTTCTGTTCACCCGGCTCCCAGTATCTTGAAGGGCTGCTGCTGCTCTACGGAGGCTTCGTTCGAGCAGGACCCGTAATCCTAAGGTAAACCCTGAGCCCTGAACCCTGAACCCTAAACCGAAAAACCTAAACCCTAAAATTTGGGGACCTAGATTGGGGGTCTTTTGTTTTCGTAAGCCTCCACATGCCACTCCCTGGTGCCAGCGAGGATCTGGGAAGTGACAGGTTTAGGCGTTTCGGGCTTCAGGTTTAGGGTTTCGGTTTCGGGTTTAGCTGTTTAGGGTTTGGGGTGCAAAGACCACCACTGTTTAGGGTTTAGGGTTAGGGTTTGGGGTGCAAAGACCACCAACGCCCACTCGGGGTCGCGACACACCTCGATGGGAGTGCATCCGGAATAGAAGCACTGCGCCTGTGCTGGGAGGGGTTGAGGGTGTAGGATTTAGGGTTTGAACCCTAAAGCTACTATATAGGAAACCCCCTAAGAGGCCCAAGTCTATGCGATATAAGTACTTGAACCCTTAGGGTAAGGCTTCTTGTCTTATCTAGGCTTCGTGTTGCCAAGGGGGGGGGGGGGAGGTGCGGATCCAAACTATGGACCCTTTTTGGTACCTTTGAAATTAGGGATTGGGTGTTTTGGGGCTCCGAGGTTTGTTTTGAGGGTTCAAGAAAGCGTTTAAATTCTAGGCAGCTTGAGAGGGCTTATAGGCGTTTTTTTAAGGGGCTTCTGGGGTGTAGGGCTAGGGTTTAGGGTTTAGGGTTCAGGGTTCATGTGGGTTTAGGGTTTAGGGTTTAGGGTTAAGGGTTTCGGGTTTACAGGGTTTGGAGCTTTCGGGCCTCGCAGCCGTGGCTGATGTTGCCCTCACTGATGTTGCAGAAGACATTGGCGTTCCCCTTGAAGTTCGGAGAGCCTCGGAGGGCTTTGGGGGGTTTACGAAATTGGGGGTACCTTCTTGGGGTCCTTATTATAAGGGTATCCTACTATTTCGGGGGTCTGCTTTAGGGTCCCCTATGTTCGTAAACCTCCATTTGGGGCTTCCCATTTGCTACAGAGTTGTGGATGGTTTTTAGTGGGTTTAGGCGTTGTTAGGGGTTTGGGGTTGAAAGGTTGTTGATAGGTTTAAACGGTTTCGGCCCTAAACCCTAGAACCTAAACCCTAAACCCTAAACCCTAAACCCTAAACCCTAAACCCTAAACCCTAAACCCTAAACCCTAAACCCTAAACCCTAAACCCTAAACCCTAAACCCTAAACCCTAAACCCTAAACCCTAAACCCTAAACCCTAAACCCTAAACCCTAAACCCTAAACCCTAAACCCTAAACCCTAAACCCTAAACCCTAAACCCTAAACCCTAAACCCTAAACCCTAAACCCTAAACCCTAAACCCTAAACCCTCTCACTCTTGGCCACTTGAGGGCACTGGGCCCCAAGCCGAGTTCGGGGCCAGCTTAGGCTCAAGGCTGAAGGTTCATAGGGCTCAGGGAATCTTCATGTGTTAGACGTTTGGGTACAGATCTTCCGCCTTAAGGTGGGTTTAGGGTTTAGGGTTTAGGGTTAAGGTTTAGGGTTTAGGGTTTGGGGTTTAGGGCATGCAACTATGACTCAGGCCTTGGGGATCAGGTTGTCAGGGTCGAAGGCCTTAGCTGCAACCCCTTCTTGGAGGATCAGGGGTTTAGGGTACTTCGAACCCTAAGCCCCAAGCCCTAAACCCAGAACCCGTGTCTGGCTGGGCACTTCGAAAAATAAAATCTACACCCTAAGCCCTAAACCCTAAACCCTGTAAGCCCTAAACCCTCAACCCTATAAGCCCTAAACCCTCAACCCTATAAGCCCTAAACCCTAAACCCTGTAAGCCCTAAACACTATAATGCCCTAAACCCTAAACCCTAAACCCTATAAGCCCTAAACCCTAAGCCCTATAAGCCCTATAAGCCCTAAGCCCTAAACCCTATAAGCCCTAAGCCCTAAACCCTATAAGCCCTAAGCCCTGAGCCCTAAACCCTGAGCCCTAAGCCCTAAACCCGACAACCCCGAAGTTGCCGCAGGCCGAGCTCCCCCGCAAATCCAGCCCTGGATGCTGTCCTCCGCAAAAGGGGGGTTTGCGAAATTAGGGTTTAGGGTTTAGGGTTTAGGGTTTACCTTCTTGGGGTCCTTCTGAAAAGGGAGTCCTGCTATTTTGGGGGGTTCTCTTAGTCTTCTAGGGGTCCCGTATTTCGCGGCTCTTGAGTGCCTGAGTAGACAACCCAACAACCCCAAAATTGGGTTTAGGGATTAGGGTTTAGGGTTTAGGGTTTAGGGTTTAGGGTTTAGGGTTCAGGGTATAGGGTATAGGGTATAGGGTTTAGGGTTTAGGGCTTCCGGCTTCGGTTTTGGGTTTAGGGTTATCCCTTCGGTTTTAGCAACATGCCGACAAGGTCAGCCGAAGGGTCCCCATTGATACACACTGAGGCCGCCAAGTTTAGGGCAAGGTTCGCTTGCCTTTGTGTAAGGGTGCGTTGCCACACTCTCTACTAGACCCAGGAGTAACCTAGGAACAGAAAGGGTGCCCTTTTTGGTCTTAAGGGGGTTATAAAGGAACCCCAACCCTAAACAAAGGAAAACAAGGGGCCTACTCCCGGTCCTAGTCTAATTCCGAACCCATAGACCCTTTTGGGCTCAGGCTTATTTGCTTAATTGATATAGGGATCCTTAATATGATTTAAGCTGCATTCCTTAATTAAGGGGTATTGGGCTCTTTGGGTAACCTATCAAAAAAAAACAGGAAGCGCCATCCCGCTTCAACCACGGCACCTGCACCCTTACATCCTAACTTAGCTTTGGAGTAGACCCTGAAAAAAGAAGTATATACTTTTCAGGTATAAGTAGCTATCATAGGAAACCAGAACCAAAAAAAGTATTAAAGTATAGTACTCCAAGACCCAGCCTAAGTCTTAACCATGACGGTGTTGACCAGGGAGACAAGCACTACAAGAAGAAAGCAGGGAAAACGTTGCTCCTAGGCACGCTACCCCTATCATCACGAGAATACCGAAAACCCTATAGGGTTTAGGGGGTTGGGGGTTTAGGGTTTAGGGTTTAGGGTTTACGGCTCAAGGCTTAGGGCTCAACTGCCCGAACCCGAAGCCCAAGAAGCCCTGGGGCCGGGAGAATCGCAGCTACCCTCGCCGAGAGAGTAGGGTGGACTGTGTACTACTAAACCCTCAACCCTACCTAAACCCTAAGCCCTAAGTTAGGGTTTAGGGTTTGGGGTTTGGGGTTTGGGGTTTGGGGTTTGGGGTTTGGGGTTTGGGGTATTTCGGACGCGGGTCCTTGATGTAGCCATCTTGAATTGGAAGCCCCAAACGCGGGCCTCGCGAGTGAGTCATTTGTTCATATGGCCATTTCTTTTAATTCTGACCCCCTTTTGGGTACCCTAAATAATAGAGGCCGTCTTACAATGACTTCTTGTCCACATATAGACACCAAAAAATCAGCACCATGAGAATGCGTGAGTGCGTGCATGCGTGCGTGTGGGTGTGTGTGTGTGTAACTGATTTTTTTGGGGGTGGTTGTGGGGCTTAGGTCTAGACTGGGGCCAGGGACCCCCGAAGAGCTTGGGTTTCAGTTTGTGGTTTGGGGGATCGAGCTTAAACTCGGTTTTGGGTTTAGGGTTTAGGGTCTAAACTGAAAGCTTAGAATTCAGGGGATTTGGTGTTTAAGCAGTGAGGGGTGGGGGAAATCCAGATGCTCATCATTCGACCGCGGTTTTGTTTGGAGGGGGCGGTTGGGGGTGATTGGGGCAAACCATGGCTGAGCCAGGCAGCATTTGAGTTCACACGTCGGCCGCTGCCACGTCCTGGCAGAGGGCGTTTGGGGTTCAGTGACCTGAAAGTTTTCGGGCTGAGGGTTGAGGGGTCAGGGTACCGTTGGCTTACCCGAGAATCGAATAGGGTGAGGTCAAGGGCCTATGTAGAAACCTGAACCCTGCCTAGTTGCCGAGTACCTGGGCCAAAAGAGGTTTGACGTTTCAAATTATGGTAGGATGCCCAAAAGGTTAAAGGTTGCCTACTCAGCTACTTGCTTAGTTGCTGAGTTCACAAGCCCCAAGACAGTGTACGCTTTCAGTTCTGTAGGGGCTTAAAGTATCCCCAAAACTTCAAAGTGTACTCATTCAGCTGAAACCCCGAAAACCTTGACCTTTGTACTCTCAGCCTGTTTTAGGAGCTCGTAGGCTTCGGGTGGGTGCCGGACGAGACCTGGGAAAATCAGAAGTCTTGAGCTTGTCAGTTGCTAGGGTTTAGGGTTGAACCTGGCGCCCTTAGCACCCTTAGCACCCTGAACCCTAAAGCCTAAACTTTAAACCCATACGCTAGACCCTAAACCCTAAACCCTACACCCCAAACCCTAAACCCTAAACCCTAAACCCTAAACCCTGAAAAAAAGACGAATACTCCCAAAAGCTGCGAAAGCAACTTGCAGCCGGCTGGGCAAGACTGCAGTCACATCGATGTTGC